ACGTCAGCGTCTTTCGATCTCGACTCGGTCGTGTACAACATCGCCCTGTCACCTATCGCATCGCACCTTCTCGTCGCATGCGCCACCCAACACCCCAACGTCCGTCTCGTCGATCTGCGTTCTGGCGCAACCACACACAGTCTAGCGGGCCACTCAGGCGCAATCCTCTCCACAGCATGGAGCCCTGTGCGCGAACACATTCTCGTGAGCGGAGCTACAGACGGCAGTATACGCTTCTGGGATGTACGCCGCAGCGTCGGTGAGCTGGGCGTACTGGATCTTGAGGACTCAGTCGGCATACTAGGGAAGCCCGCGTCGTTTACACGCAACTCTACCAACGCACAAGCGCACAGAGACGCCGTGAACGGGCTCGTCTGGACAGAAGACGGCAAGCACCTAGTCTCGTGCGGCCACGACGCGCGGATACGCGTCTGGGACACAGATACCGGCGCCAATACCCTCGCCAACTTCGGCCCCATGGTCAAGAACTCGGGGCTTGCGCCGCGTATCCCCGTACTTGCACCCACGCAGAACCTCCAGCCAGGTGCCGATCTCATGTTCTATCCCAACGAGCACGAGATACTTAGCTACGAGCTCTTTGAGGGCAAGCTTATCCGCCGTCTGCGCCGCTCACAGCAGCCCCAGACGAACAAACCACCTAGTACGTCTGGTGCAACAGCAAAGGGACAACGCAATATCAAGGATAGAATCACAAGTCTAGCGTGGCGGCCACATCATGTAGAGATGTATTCTGCGCATGCCGATGGCAGTATAGCGGCATGGACGCCGCGAACGGAAGAAGACGCTGAAGCAGACGAGGACGAGCAATTGGAGCGGGAAGAGAAGGAGGTGGATAAGAAGAGGAAGAGAGGCGTGCTAGATGAGATATACCAAGGGTTGACCAAGAAGCAGATTACATTTGGCAACATGGGCTTTTAGCCAACTGATAGTAATATTGACAAGATGAATTGAATCGAATCGCTCAGACTGTTATATTACAACACATGCTACCCGCTGCGTCTCTTCATATGCCCATTACATATCATCATAACAGTACAATATACGCCTTCATCTAGCAATCCCCGTATATCTCTCCGTCTATTCCAGTGTCTATCCAGACCCAAAATGCGGTAACCTAGCCGGAACAAATGGCTCTTCACCAACTCCCCCTCTTTCGTGTTCCTCTCTCACCTCATCTTTAATAGACAACGGTCGATTCGGCGTGACAGCCTTACTCGAGTAATCGCTCTCATCCACGTAGAACGCACTACTGTCCGGCATCGTCTGCGTATCTACGAAACTCGGGAAAGGAATCGCATCGCTCTGGTTGATTGACGGCGCAGTCTCGCCAACGGGCGTGCGTACAAGCGGAGATACAGTCGAGTCTACTGTTGTCATAAGTCGCGCTGGCGACGCAGAACGAGGCGTACTAGATTTGGTGGAGAGGGGTTGATCGGGCGCTAGACCGCGCTTGACGGCGAGTTGTTGCGCTTCCTGCCGTCTGCGACTGACTTCCCTCTCCTCTTCTAAATGAAGACGTTCCTCTTCTTTCGAGAGTTCGTCGAGCGTGGGGGGAACTTGTTCGATTGTTTCTGAGACGGAGCGCGCGGAGAGGGGCGGTTTGTCCGAGTTGCTTGTGTTGCGGGAGGACAGCGTGCGCGTGGATACGCGGGATGCGGAGGGGCGCTTGCTCTTGCTTGAGCGGGCCTTGTTGCTGCTGGGCGTGTCTTCGTTCCATTGGCCCGTTGTGCGGCGCTCGAGGGCGATGGTGAATTCGTCGTCGAGGGGCACGGCGTCTTCCAGCTCGTCCTCGCTCGGGAAGATGTCGCCTCGCGAGCTGAGGGAGTCGGTTGTGTGGCCCGATGTGTGCGTGTTGCTTCGCTGTCGGCGGTGGCCTTTGTTCTCGGGCCCGTCGAGCGCATCCTCGTCGCTGTCCTCTATCAGTGGCTCTTCCTCCTCACGGTTTCTTCGTGTTGCGCCTGGGTGCTCTATGAGGTCTGCGGCCGAGGGCTTGTATCGCAGTCCTCTGCCGCCAATCTTGAAAGGCAACCGTCCCAAGAAGCCAAAGTACGAGGAACTCGGGATGAGAGTCGGGTCCTGGGCGCCATCTCGTGGCAGCGTCGTGCTTTTCCGGCGCGGTGTATTATATCTCGGGTCGCGATTTCGCTGTCCATAACTCATGCCGCTCTGTCGACCAGGCTGCGTAGTTGCGCCATAATTGGAGGCGCCGCCGAGGAAGCGGTCGAGGTTGTCGCTGCCCCAGCCCAGCAGGCCGTCGTTCTCATCGTCCTCCCAGTCGTCGTAGAAGTCGAAGCTGACTTCTGCCCGGCCTCGTGACCGCCCGCGATTGCGCCGGCGGTCGTTGTGCGCTGGGAAGCATGGCGCCGTGCACGCGTTGACGCATTGGGTTATCGACGAGAAGCACGGATTAACATAGCGCTGCGTGAAGCCGTAGATGTTCTCCTGCGCCGATTCGTTTGCGTGCTCGAGGTTCTCTGTGATCTGATGGAGCGTGCGATTCCACCGCGGGTCGCTGCGACGGTACATGGTGACGATGACGACGACGGTGCCTAGCACTCAGTGGAAGCGGGTGGGTATTGCGTGGAGCAGCAGAGTGCTGCGATGCGACAGCGCATTGGCTTCAACAGGACAGCAGGCGCATTCACGCTGACACGCTGAGGTATGACGACGTGGTCGATGAGATGCGGCTCGGTTGGCGCTCTAGGTTCAGATTCCCCAGCCCTGCGCCAGCCGTCCCAGCACCCCACATCAATCCAGCCCTTCACCCCCACAGTCTTGCTGCTTTCGGCACGCCCCTTCCGACCAATCCTACAATGAACCATGCGATACATCCGCTTCCTCAAAAGTCCCCGCGTAGTCGCTGAAAAGGGCACGTCGAGAAAGCAAGTCCACTGTCTGATTACCATTACTTCAGACCTTGGAGATTCTTTTCTCCCTTACGACATCCAGCTAGCAGCAGAGTTGTCAGCAACTGCAGATGGGTCAGAAGAAAGCGTGATAGTATGGTCGACTGTGCAATGGACAGCCGGCATGCGCAGTCTGCCCATCACTTTCCCGCTCCCTAAATCTCAAGCTTCTCACTCGAGTTTGCGAGTCAGAGTGGGTGGGGAGCCGAAACGAACACACGATGACTTTGCAGCCATAGCAGAAAAAGGTGCTCGAGGTGTTGTATCTGCCTGGAGCCCGCCTTTCGCGTCAGACCAAGATGCTCTGAAATTAGTCGAAAGACGGTTCAAGCTGCCAGATGGACCCATCACTACTATCTGGGAGGAGACGGGAGAAAGCATAGCGAGGCACCTATGGTATGCATTTCCAGTTCTAATACAAACCATTTCAGGTGCTGATCATATATCAGGGACGCTGGTATCACACTCTCATGCCAAATGACAGCTCTGGATAATCCAAAATCCAGCCTAGCAGAAGCTTTACTACCATATGGTATTGCATCTGAACCCCATCTGAATGTCCTCGAACTTGGCACTGGCTGCGGGATGGTTGGAATCGCAATCGCTCAAACTGTCTCCAACTCCAAAGTTCTCTTGACCGACCTTCCAGAGGCTAGAGAGATAGTTGAGCGAAACATCGACTCGGCAGTCAAAGCACCAGGTGCATCACTCGCGTTCATGGAACTGGACTGGGATGCAGAGTTACCTGGTGAAGTACAGTCTAGCTCAGAGCCTCTCGATCTTATTCTTGCTGCTGATTGCACCTACAACCCAGACAGCAGGTATGCCTCCTCTCACCCACTCCACATGCCTGTAATGCTGCTGACTTGCAACTACAGCCCCGCACTAGTCAAAACGCTTGCTCGACTCTCCAGAGCAAACCCTAAAGTCAGGATTGCCATCGCAATGAAAATGCGCCACTCAAGCGAAGAAGTATTCTTCAAACTAATGTCCGATGCAGGATTCCTAGAGACAGACAAGATGCAGTTTCCATTGCCAGGGGATGTTCAAGTTGGCGAGGAGACTGTGTACTTGCACGTCTACTATAGGGCATTCTTTGCTCCTACTTAGCCAGAAGGTCATCTGCCTTGGGTATCGCTAGGTTCTTTTCCCAATCTGATGAGCAACTCACTCATTCATTTACCATCACTTGTCACATATGGCAAAAGAGGTGCATACAAGCTATTGTATTCAGGACGTTCTGTACGCTTACAAGGCTGCTGCAAGGTAGCTAGCCTGCCCATATCGTATGACACCAACCGCACAACAAGGCACGCCAAGTCTGTGGAAGCCAGACAAAACCTACCATTCTCCAGCGTCTACAGCAATCAGGTAAAAACCAAGTATTAAACGAATCAACATGCATCCCCATCCCACTTCCACAAGACAACCCTCCACCGCATCGATCATCCCACACCCTCAAACCCACACCCTCAGCCTCGCCCATCCCAAACCCACCACACATTCCTCCCGCCCCCACACCTTTTCCACCTTACCATCCACGCCCCTCCCAGGCCATTCCCACTCCCCGCAAGCTGACCACCCCAAAACCTACCCTAAGTAGCAAGTCCGGCGTGGGGTCCGTCGAACCCAGCACTAACAGCCACTAACGCTCATGCTGGTAAGCACTTCGAGCGCTAGCGCTTTCCGCAAGGACTACGCCGCTACGCCGCAGTAAACTAGTTAGTCCGCTAGCCAGATGGATGGATAGAACGAGCGGCTTTCCCGAAGGTGCTGATTGAGGCGTGATGGTGTGGTGCTTCGGGTACTAGCTGCTGTATCATGCGCGGCTTTGGTGTCGTCTTGCTACGCACGTTACGGATTAGTTGGACACACGTGAGGCTAGTGGTGTTGGGATCAAAGGTCCACAATCCATTCTGTATGATTATTGTAACGATTTCCATCTTGTATATACAGTCTTGTCATGCTATGTACAGTTGATTATCAAGTCCTGCAGCGATTATAGTACGAGATTGCGCTGATGACCCGTTCAAGCATGTGTTGATTCCACCTCTTCGTTACTACATACAGGCTTCAGGGCGATATTTTGTACGTCAGGCGACGCGATTTGGTTATGAAGGAGTTGATGGCTTCGGTGAGGGTGTTGGAGGGTCTTGTGCTTGCCTGAAGAACACCGTTAGCGTCGTTGTATTGGGTTTGGGGGTGAAGGGTGCTTACATCTGGTTCTCCGTCTGGCGTAGCGGCGCGGTTTACGATGGCCTTTTCGGGCTCGGTTAGGAAATTTTTGATTGAGCTGTTGGCGGATACGCGGGTTATGTTTCCGTAGCCATCGTATTCTTCGATGTCTTTGATGGGGCTTCCAGCGGCTTGTTGTCGGGCTGCTTGTGCGCGCCTTCTGTTCGATCGCATTATCAGGGTTACACCGATGGCGAGGAGGATCGTGACGAAGCCTGTGTTCACGTTAGATTCGTCGTGCAAGACTCTGGTGCGGTACTCACCCAGTACTCCAAAAAGGATGAACAGTGTCCTTGCAAGGGGTGTCAAGCCGTGCTGCGGCTCGACACTAACGGCGGTGGCCAGACTGGAAGGTATGGCTGATCCGGAAGCTAGGGACAATGTCCGAAGCCCTGAGGATACGGACTGTCGTGTGGTGACAGCTTGTGGCGCCATGATAGTTTGAGTGGATGGCTGTATGTCTTCTTTGGCTTCTGCTGTTCGCGTGACGGTGACAAAGGTGAGAACTGGAGGTAGCGATGAAGGCTTTGTCGTTGTCGAGGACGCTGTCGGGGATGAAGTCGAGATGACCAATGTTGGCGGCTGGGAGAAAGAACTCGCAGAGGATTCAGTGGCTATGCTCACTGTCGAAGAAGACGATGTAGTTGACATAGCCGTTGAGCGGGAGTCGCTCAGAATCATGAAAGACACTGCAGAAACATCCATTGTAGGCTTTGGTTGATTCTTTCCAGGCATAGGCTTTCCCACTGTCATCGCCGAAGTTGCAGACGGTATAGCTGTACTCTCAGGGGTTGCGAGAGGTGTCACTACAGGTGTAGTCAACAGTACAGGAGCTTCTAAAGAGATGAAAGTCAACACTCCGTGCACGTCCCCAAGGCGTGTTCTTCATCGGGAGCTTACCTTGGTTCCTTCCAGGTACTGTTCCCAATGAAGGGTCGTCTTGGTTGACACCGGGAAGGGCTGCAATTTCATCCTGTGCGAAAGAGTCCGCTAGAAGGCCTGGGACTGCAGTTGAAGCAGGTTGGATGGTCATGGCCTCGTTCATCGCGACAGCATCTGCTTGCACAGTAAGGGTTGGCCGGATGGTAGATGCTACAAAGTTAAGAGAGAAGGTCGAGGTGGCATTCATCGATAACGAAGGTGCGGTGAAAGCTTGAAGTGTTGATCCCTGGCCATCGGTAGGCGTTGGTACGGCCAGTGTTGAGAGCTGTTCGGACTGCGATGGGAGTACACCCTGTGTACCCATAGTAGGGTCCATTGACCATGACGATGGCATCGGTGGTGGGCCGTCCGGAAGTTCGTTCTTGCTCGTATCCGATTGTTGGGATCTCGTCCCGCCTGTCCCCAAGTCCATGTCCATATTCTCCTCATTCTTGCCCTCGACTACGATGGGCGTAGCTACCATCCTTGGATCATTACGGCGTACCAGCACCGGTGGGGTATCATATGGTCTGCTCGGTGCAGCCATTGCGAGGTAAGATTCCCATAGAGGCGAGGAAGATTCACAGCACGCGAGGATATTGAAATGGCAGTAACGCGGGTGCCATACCCCAGCCGGCTATTAGTGGTTCCATACAAAAAGTACCAGATGCCAAAAACGTGCTGAAGCGGGTGAACGTTTCGGTGTGGGCTGCTACCATGAGATGCGGTTGGTCAAGGGAACGCCCACTGCGACTTTTCCGTACCAAACATGACCAGCACGATCCCTGTACCAGGGAAATCTGTCGCCTATTTGAGACCATGTGGTGCGCCAGCTACGGTTTTCGGGGTATTGTATCCGCTTCATGGGGTCCCTCCAAACGTGCACTTGTTTCGCAGAGGACGCCAAAGTTTGTGTCGACACTCGAAACGTAGCGCATGCGGCGGGAACTTCGAGACCGGTCTGAACAATGATGCCACTGCGATGGCCGCGTGGTACGTATCTAGTTGATGGAGGCCGTCCGGTTGATGATACAAGAAAAGGAACGGTAGCCTTGCCGACAGCTCATATAGGCCAGATCTACAGATGACTTGTACTCTGGATAAAACAGCAGCGCATTGCTGATTCTTGCCATGGAGAGTGTTCCAACATATTCGTCTTTTTCTCGCAATCAGAAACAGTAATGATGGACTGGTTCATTATGGAATTGTCGCGACATTTCGACGGTGCCAACGTGAGGCATGCTCAGCTCCGACTCGGCAGACTCATGCAACGAGCGTGGCTGTGCCTGGCTTCGGCACTCGTATCCGGCCTCACGCAACGAGATGTAATTCAGCGGTATTCTCGCATCCGGGATGGGGTAGTAGAGCAGAGGACCACTGGGTGTGAGGCTCGCGGGTGCATCGGAACCAGCCTCTGAGGCCTCGGGCGCGGCGAAGTGGATCAATCCAGCAGCCGTCCGAGTCGATGATGCTTGCCGTGCGCCACCTCAGTCTAGGTCGGTATTCTCTTGTCGCATACTTATTGTTCGTATTCTGGCATTTCTGCAACATGATAATCGCGTGTTCATAGCCGCTGTCGTCGTTCTTTTCGCACGTGTACCCCCCCGAATGGCCGCACGCGACACGCCCGAGCGCGCGGTGCCGGAAACCATGGACCTCGAGCATGGGACCAAACGCGACCCTTCCCGCGACCGCGTCGCACCGAATGGTCAGAACTTAGAAGTCACCCCGCCATGGAGGAAAAGGCTCAGCGCGCGCACGCCGGCGCCCGTCGCTCGCTGGAGCCGCAAGGTTGTCGACTGGGTCAAAGGGCCGAAGCCGCCGGGCAGATACACGATCACGCCTTTTCTTGAGCGCTGGCAGACGTTGCCTGTGCGTCTGCTTGCGCGGTTGCCAGAATGGCTGCGCATCTGTGTGTATGCGGCGGCATGCATCGTGTGGATCGTTGTCTTCGCGGTAGTCATCAGTGACGGCGGGCTTCCGTCTGACATCGGAGGGTTGGGGGCGCCTGTCAAGCTGTCGTGTATCAACAACCTGTGGTAGGGCCTCTCCTCTTGTACTCGCAGCTGTGATGACTGTACTGATCGTCGCCAGGCCTTCTACAGAGAGCTGCGGACCCGATGGCCGCAACTGCCTCCCCTTCTCCAACGCCTCGTTCGCCTTCGTCTGCCCCGCCGGTTGCTCGAGCGCCCAAGTCCTGAACCCTCGCGCAATCGGTCCGCAGGTTATAAACTATCGATCCCTGGTGATTGGCGGCACGCCGGATTCCCAGGGCGATGGGCTCGTATATCGCGGGGACTCCTTCATATGCTCGGCGGCCATCCACGCTGGAGTAATCAGCGATGGCAGCGGCGGTTGCGGTGTTCTCTCCTTGATAGGAGAGCGCGACAGCTTCGGCGCTGTGACACAACATGGCATCAGCAGCATTGGCTTCGACGCGCACTTTCCAATGTCCTTTACCTTTGGCGAGGCTTCGGCCAAATGTGAGGACCCGCGCTGGAATCTGCTGATCCTCTCGACCATCTTCACTGCTCTGTTCGGCATCTTTACCACGAGCCCTGCGACGTTCTTTGCGCCCGTCTTTACGATTCTGTTCTTCCAGACCGGCATGGCATCAGATCCGCCCTCGTACTCAAACTACGCCTCCTTGGCCTCTACAACACTTGGCCGCTTCTTGCCTGCGGCATTGGCTGCTGCCCTCTTCTATCAGTTCAGTGTTCGCAAGTCTCTGCATAATTGCAGGGCGCAAATCGAAAAGACCATACTCTGGATAGGCGGTGCCTGGGTTGGCGCACTGGGTAAATATACATTTGAACGTATACCCATACAGCGCCTTACAGGAAACGACATCCGACAACAGCCTGGTGCTATCACAGCATTAGTAATCATCGTGCTGATTTTGTTTGCCGTCGTTTTGTACCAAGCATGGTGTTTCCGTAAGGAAGGGCGACTGCCACGCTATCTTGCACTATACGCTACATTGGGCCTTGGGCTGGGTATCCTTGCAGCTATGCCGAAGCTTACACTTAGGATACACCACTACATAATCGCCCTCCTACTCCTTCCAGGTACTGCGATGCAGACACGTGTGAGCTTGCTGTGTCAAGGCTTGCTCGTTGGACTCTTCGTCAATGGTATTGCACGATGGGATTTTGACTCTATACTGCAGACTGCAGCGGCGCTGAGAGGGGATGGCCAGCTCGGATCTGGTGTCCCAGCCCCTTTGGAGCTAGTCGTGACTCGTTCGAGCATTACATTCGCATGGGAGAGTCTACTCAGCGGATATGAAGGCGTCAGCGTGGTGGTTAACGATGTGGAAAGGTATCGGGGCATTGGTGGAAGCGACACAGGAAACTTCACCTGGAGTCGTTCGGATGATGCGAAGGATGAGTACTTCCGGTTTGGGTTCATCAATTATAAACTGTTTGGCAACGTAGCATATAGCGACTTTACGAGAGCGGGTACGTGGTTCTCGAATGGGACCTGGTCTGGAATCTCGCCAGGCCGTACATGATAGAACCCGAATGAAATCATCCTCGGGAGGTAGAGACCTGTTTAATCCCTTCATTGCCCTCGTTCCTGCAGATGTGACCAATGAGCCACTAGCGCGTTTACGTCACCGTTCAATACATGGAAACCTGGGCTTCAGGACAGGCGATCGACATGTGGAAGCGGTGATCCAACGGTTATACAGACACGTCTTGGCCAACCGCGGCAGCCATCATGCCCTCTCCTGCGACAAATCAGGTCTGGCTCAGATTGTTCCTTCTGCTTTGGGTGCGGGGGTAGTCCGAACACGGCAGTGGACATGACGTCACACCAACAGAGCCGAGTTGCTCCAGGGCTTGAATGACCGCGCCTGCACTAGGTCATTTTCCACAAACACGATGCCTTCTCTCCCTCGGAATCTCTACTCCCTTTGACCCTACCCCTCTACCTTCCGGAGCCTCAAAGGCATGGATTCACCCCCGAGACGTGAAGCGCCGGCTGCTTCCAAGCGAAAACCTGTCCCCTCGCCGACCGCACCTGGGCCTTCGCTTGAGCCGGAACGCAAACGCGAGCTTACCAGTAGACTAATACCGGATGCCTTTCTCGCTGCCACTCTCTTGGCAGCCCTTACTCTCTCCTGGCCGCTACGATGGGTTGTCTCTGGAGCGCCCATACTTGTCTACGCCATCCTACTAGGCGAGGCTTATGGACATCGTATCTTACCCTTCGTTCCCGTGTGGACCATCTTTGCAACTGTCAACTTCATTTACGCAGTATGCGCGACATCATGGCTTCTGTACTGGGTATTCTGGTCCCTCTGCTGGCCTGTACTCTTCATCACCTGTCTCTTCCAATTCGAAGCACCTGCTGCACTGGCGCGCCGCACGCTGCGAAAGACTTTCCTACGAGACCTGCACTTTATCAACGATCAGATAGCCTTCTTCGACCTGCCTGCTCTTGAGATTGACACCGAAGTCAAGGGACTTTTCGTCGTCCGGGGAGTCACGCTCTCACTATCCACAATGACACTTGTTGCTCATGGAGTTGAAGCCGGGATAAAGCTCGCTGACGACATTGAACTCGGCATTCAGGTCGACAAAGTCGTCGTACCCCTCTTCCGCGAGATAACTGTCGACGATGTGTATGCGAATGTGAAGGGTGGGGATTGGGAAGTCACCTTTGGAGACGTACAGTACGGCGTTCCAGAACCAGATGACGATGAATCTGTAGTCGTCACCAACACTGCCATCCTCAGAGCGGCAACGATGAAAGGCAACGCCAACGGCCGCCCGGCTAATATGGTCCGAAACCTTACGGCCGGGAAGATGCCGACCGAGGCTGAAGACACCAAATCCGCATTCTCATCTGTCAAGAAGATCTCACCAGATGAGGAGCGCGCCCACACAAAGTACAAAGAGCTGGTACGCTATATCAACGACACAAGCGCCATTACAAAAGCAAAGGAGGGGCTGGTAGAGGCCTCGAAGGCACGAGCGGAGGCTAGCTTGACCGACGACGAAAAGGACACAAAAAACACGAAGAAGTCAAAAGAAGAACCGGGAGTGCGCTTGGATATTGAAAACCTCGATGATTTCCGGGCAGCGATTTGTACCCAGATCCACGGGCAACCCTCGATACCTCACCCACCGACCAAATCGATCAGAGTCTCCACTCTTCGCAAAACATCGTACCCAAATGTAAAGAAATTCTTACATCGGCTACCCTTCCTCTATCGCTTGATGCTCAGCCCCATCTGCTACTTCCATCCTGTCAAGTTCAAGTCCGTCACGGCAGCTGGCTCAGGGAAATGGTTCACTGTCTTGATGCAAAAATACTTCTTCAAGCATTACTCAGCCCAAGATGCCGAGATTCGTAGATTGGAAGCGCGGATATCAGCCTGGTGCGCAGATGCCAATTTCGCTGTGGAATTGGGCCCGATTGCTAGCGAAGCCCACTTCCCCATCAACACCAATTACAACATCACGACCCACTTCA